ACATTATGCTGCTAGGCTATGATTTATCCTTAGGGGAGGGCGGAGACAGGAAACGGTGGAGTGATAGCAGCAAGGGTATTACAGCATCGTAGATCCGCCCTCCATTCACCTCCTTCTGGCTAGAAAGCACCAGGGGGTCTGCATGAACCTGCGCTGTTCCAGTATTACTGTGGTAACGCTGCATACTGATGCTCCTCAACAACACTGACAGAGCAGACTGAAAGTGTCACAGCATGAAAATGACAAAAACGGTGTGACACAATAACGTTCTAGCCTCTAAGAAAACCCAGAAGCCCTCCTGCTATGAGATCTGTATAAATAGAGCAATAATATTTCTATTATATATTTCAGGACTCCACTCCAACACAAGTCTGAAAACAAAGTCAATAATAGTAATAATACACCTTAATTGAAATAACTGCACGCTGGTTTGCATGGCCATTTCACAGCTTGTTTTTCATTGTAAAACTTGCAGCCCCTAAAAGCCTGTCGCATGCAAAAACCCACGCGTGATGCTGATTTTGTTTGCACATCCACTCTGAAATGATGTTTTGAAAGCTCAACCAAATGGAAGCCGCTGACCTCTTTCAGCACCTGGCACGGTGAGCATTGATTCTCTTTTCAAGATGAAACAAGTTCAGTTTTTTTTCTAAGGAAAGGCGCTTATTAAGGTCAATCCTCCACTTTTGCAAGTAATAAAGTTCAAGTAGAGTTGAGGCGTGAGATCCAGGTATGTTTTATGAGCAAACACATGACCAACAGCCTCTGCTGGCATGAGGACAGCTCTTCAAGCTCCAATGCTCATGAGGTTAAACAGCACAATTGTATGCGTAGCAAAAACATCTGCATGTTAAAATGAGCACAAAATCTAAATGTGCTCCTGCAGGCTCACTTAAAAACACACTTAATTCCTCTGCGTTGAAGTGGAAGCCCTTTGAGTCAGAATTTTGCATATAACTGAGTGCTGTTATTTTCTCTGGTGCATGTGTTACAGCAGCAGAATAAACAAAATTAGGCTCCTAATCCTTGCGTGCTCGGGATGTCAGCGAAGAGGCAAATCTGAGAAAAAATAATAATAAAATGCCCTAAGACCGTCTGCAATTTTCTCGTCATTTCATGCATTTGAAACAAAACTAATTTACTGCTTGTCATGCTTGGCTTGGCACACACAAGCATACGAGCCAATGTGCCACAGCACGTCAGCTGCCGCTGCATCAAAGAGAAGTGTTTATATATCAGACTCGCTGCTCCGTATGAATCACGGGGACCTGGGAGGGACGTTTAATACGGTCTTATCAAAAGTAGCAGTCTGGCAAACCCGCTGATATGCTTGCGCCTTCTCCACATCTCCCTGCTTTCCATCTCTGACATCCCTTTCTGTGTTTATATCTTCAATAGGTCATCCCAATGTCACCACAGTCTGGATTTTTGGGCTTCTACAAACACACACACACACACACACACACACACACACACACACACTTAGATAAAGTTGTGTGCTTGGCAGCTTAGAGTGAGGCAGAAAGATATGGGAGGAGAGTGCTGGAAGCATAAACCGTAAGAAAGAGAAGAAGTGAGCAATGAGATGAAAGAAAAGCACAACAGAAAGCTGGAGGGAGGAGAGGAAAGCAGTGCCACTCTGATAGTAACATGGTGCATGCGTTGGACCCCCGTATGAAGACATGACAGCTTAACATGTCTCTAGCTTAGATGAAGGCAGAAGTTCTGAAAAGCACATATATTCTAATAAATCGTCTCTGCAGATTTAAAGCTGACTTAACTATTCCGAGTGAAAGGTTCTCATTAAATCAGAGGCTGTGACATGTACTGATTTCTCGCCTCAGAATTCACAAAGCCTATTGTTTGGAGATGCTCACTTCAGATTTTTGCTATCATTGCTGGGGCAAACATCAGCATGCAGCTCTGCGGTGCATTGCAAGAGGGTTAATTGCATACTTGTTTGTAATTATTCTGTTAATACAGCATACAATTCCCTGCCTATAATTTGAATTTAGATTAAAGCCATCCAGCCATTCGTCAGAGATGCCATCTCTTTAGGAGTCAAGTCAAACATTATCTCACTTGCATTGCAAATGTACACAAACACCAAGGTTAAAGTGACAGAAGTTGGACGTAACAAGAGCTGCAAACAACAAATAGTCTCTCCTGGCTGAGAATTCCACAGCATTTTGGTGACTAATCCTTTTATAAAGCTGAAACCGGGAAAAGAAAATTTGCAGCACTTAAATTTCCCTTCCAGGTTCTCTGTGGTCATTTTGTCACGCTGCTCCAAAATATGCAAAACATCACAGCAGGAAGAACGGTTGGAGAAGCAGAAACGCACATTGCAATCTCCTGAGTGGTGTTGCATGGCGTTAGCGCGGAGGGAGTGATTTGGACGGTGGCCTGTGTCTGGTGGTCCCGTCACAGCCCAGAGGGGTGTAAATGTGTACAAGTGACTCAGGGCGGAGGATGAGAACAAACAGAGGGCTCCATTCAGGTCTAATTCACAGACGCATCATTCAGTCTGACATGACGATACGTCTCTGTGACCAGAGTATTCATACAGGGCCTTGCCAGCCATTCACAGATGTATCATTCACACCCACACACTGACACACAAACACACTTCCGCTGGCTCTTGTCTACACAGCCACTGGGTGTTTCTATCACTATGGAGAATCTGTCTAAGGTTTCCCATTCATATTCATTCATGGTTTCCCTCTTGACACGAACACATTGCAAAGATACTCGGTGGTACTTATTCTGATGAGGGCACCGCCCCTAAAATGCAGTGAATGTCTTCGCTGCCAAGGTTAAAGTGGGAGTTTATCCATTAGCAAGTCATAATATTGACAAGACCCCGCTCTGCAGGTCCAAACTCCAGCGGTGTAGCCGCAACACTGGCCGACAGGCGAGGGGTTGTATGTCAACGTGAGGTGCTTACATGCCGATAAAGCCTGCCGTTCTAATTCCTATAGGTAGACCGTGATGGACAGCAGGCAGGGAGAAGGAAGGGAAAATGAGTAGCAACAAGGGCTCATAGTGCCTGAGAAGGCGGTTGGTGAAAAGACAAAGAGGCAAAACGTGGATGAGATGAAATTATCAGACTGGTTAGGGACTAAATAATTTTCTCTAAAGATCTTGGCAGTAGCAGCAGAACACCCACGGTTTAAGGAGAAGGAGGCAATCCGAACATTTAGGAATTTGTAAAAGAAAACACAACCGCCTGTCTGGAGTGAAGCAGACAGCCTTAAGTCATGGTTATAAAAGCAAGGATAGGAACTCATGACCAGGTAAAAGAAGAGCAAACATGGCCAGTCAGAAGACTGGTGTTGCATATATTTTACTTCTAGTAAATCCAGCAGCATCATAAATGACTTCAGCCCAACAGTGAAGCGGTCAGTAAACCACACTGCCCCTTGTGGAGTTCTAGTTCCTTCATCTACGAGCAGGTCTTGGAAAAACTTTTATAGCAAAATCTTTGTGAAGCAGCAATGAAACTATCTCAAAAAGTTAGCAGAAACTAGAGGAGCAACACTGAATTGGTGCATTAAGTGTGCAGGGCAGGTGGATAGGAGGAGGGAGAAGCGGCAGAGGGGCTCAAGGTGCTCAGTGACTGCCGTAGTGGGATCTGCAGTTTGCATTTAGGCAGCGGCAGCAGCTGCTGCTTTCTGTGCATGAGGTGAAAATGATGATGGGATGAAGGGAGGAGAGGAAGGAGGGTGCCCAAAAAGGGGGGTAGTTAGGGGTATTAAACCCCACATTTGGAGTCAAAGACCTATAATTCACACAAGGCTGGTGCACCCTCCACTGTGATGTTTTCGCCCAACAACCCTTCACACAAGACCAGATGAGAAGAAAAGCCAGAAAATGATTGACCTTCTAAACATGCACTTATACTGAGAAAAGATAACTATACTTCAAATAACAATTCAGACTTGAGTCTGTAAATCATGATCTAAACATCTATTTCATTCTAAACACCTGCTTTTAAAGTCCACCACAGAGTTGTTTTTAATGTTAATGAATTTGCCAACAGTCAAAAATCGTACACTTCACATGATTTAAACAATAGAAGTTTGTTCATAAAGGAGAGACTTCAGTGTTCCCATCTATCCCTGCAATCAGCCACCGTCTGAGGGAAACCCTTGAGCCACTCTGGAAGAAATGCTTGGATAAGAACCATTAGGTCCCGACAAACTGGGAAGCAAAAAAAAAAAAAACAGGAGTAAAAAGGTTTTCTGGATATTTCAAAATCTATGAAAAACATGGCATTTGGGATATTTTATAACAGACACCAAAACCATTACCGGTAATTAAAATTAAATTGTGAAATAAAAATACAAGAACACATAATGAATTGCTTCCGTCTACAGAAGTTCTTATGCCTCAAAATTAAAAAGTTTCATGTTGGACAAAATCTGTAAATGGAGACTGTAGCAGAAACTCCTCCAAATTGGCTCTGATGGTTTCAAAACTTTGTAAAGATGCACCATATTCCCACAGCAGACATCTCCAAAGCCTTCATTACTTTACTTGACACAACCAAAGACTTCATGTCTGAAATTTAAAGGAAACACGCACTACTCTTGTTACCTTGCAAACATGACTCTGGACAGATTTCTGTTCCTCTACACTGAAGCATGCAGGTTTGCAGCTCTTCTGCTCTGGGTGAAGGGCACATGCAGCGCAAAATTGATGGGATCCAGTCGACCTAAGGTCCCGAGCTGAGCAAAATTGCAGGTCATTAAATATTTTTTGCACTTCTTTCAGTAGAAAGTTAAATTACAGACCGAGATTTAAAAAAAATAACCGTGGTAAAACCTGCAGGGTGGCCGGAGAAACGCGGGCATGGCGCAGTTAGAACAGGTGCAACACACCTCTTGTCACCTGCCTGGCGCAGCTACAAACCAGCAACCCAAATCTGGCGTTACAGACATACAGCGCTCTGACCGCAGCGATGGGCGGAATGAACACCTTTCCCAGTCTGTCCTTACCTGGAATCTATGCAGTTATCAGAGGCAGCCGCATCGGCACTGCGGAGAGGCACGTTCACAGCAATCCCAACTCCTTCCACTCTCTCCCTCCAGAACGATAAATGTTCAGAATAACGATATATCCTGATCCCACGGCTCGTCCACTTTAAATCCCCGGCAGAGGTGCCGTTATAGGGCAATTCCTGCTCTGGGAAAAGAAATAGCAGACTTCCTGCAGCATTCCCGATCAGCAGGACTCTTCTGAACCGCTCTGAGTGCTCTGACACCAGGGAGCCGCACCTCCCATCTCCCGGCGAGGACTCACTTGGTATGCCTTTGGAAAAGCCGCTGCACCGTATGGGATACCGCAGGAGGCTGCGTCTGTGTGCGTAGATGCGCGTGCGTGTGTGCGTGGAGCGTGTGTGTGTAGGTGTGACTCGGTGCGGTGCTCCTGCCCAACTGAGGTGCTGAGGCTGCAGCAGCGGAGTGCAAGGCAGAGGGAGGGAGGGACGCACCGACGCGAAGAGGGGCACGCTCTGCCGCGGATCTTCTGGTCTGGCCGGGAGGTTAGATGGAGCTTCACCCGCTGGAAGACGACTGCATGTGGCAGCCTGTCGGGTCGGAGGGAGGGGTGGTTTGCGTATGTCTTCAATTCAGCTCACCGAATTAAGACGCATGGCGCATCAATAAACGCACCTAAAACGCTTTAGGGCTAAATGTTCGCGTTTATTTCCACAGGCGACGTGGAACTGCTCCACTTGTGTGACAGAAAAACCAAGAAGTTACACTATCTGACAGGTATCACCTGATCAAATAAGAAGTGACAGAAGGTGGGATTAAATAAACACAATCTTTCCTGGAATGGGTTTACATATAGATCCTGGAGCCAGGAGAAGATTTATGTAATGCATTCATCCCGATGAAAATGGGATTTGGCAATGCCAAACGGAATTTCCACAGATGCGATACAATGCGGAGTAAAATGATCAGATCATCGGATTTGACTACCTAATCGCAGGATCATTTAAAGACAGAGATCAGGCACCACTGCAACATAATTACGACCCTAGATGGAAGGGATTAGAATCTGCAGTGCTTTTTTCTTTGATGATCTCCTAACGTGCCTCAGGAAAACACCCCCTCCCTCCCTCCCTTCCTCCGTGCATTTTAAGCAATTAATAGTATTCTGAAAGCCTAATTGTGTAATTACGTATTCAACAAAAATGCTGTGTGGTGGAGCAGGAATAAAAGACGCATTTTCCACCAAACATGCTCTTATCTCCATATTAAGCCCGTTTTAAACTAATCTCCATCAACACTGACTAAATATTTCATATCTGCAGAGAAATCTCAAGTTTTTTCCTGCCAGTGAAATGAATGTGTTGAGGGTTTTTGAAGGAGGGAGCTTCATGAAATTAATTCCAGTGACCGCCCTTTGACCGTTTTATTCAATATCCATGTAGTTTCAAAGAAGTATCGAGCCTGCTGCACCATCCTCTCCCTCTGTCCCTCCTCGTTTCCTCACTCTCCCCTCCTCGCGCTCGCAGCCACCAAGGACAGAGGACCCTTTGCTTTGAAACACTGCATCAGAGCCCCACCTACAGGCCAAATAAACTTTACTGACTGTCACATGCAAACGAAGGTGCCTCACAGTTCCTGCAGTGCATCAATGCCATTTCAAATCACAGATTGGTGCATCATTAATATTTTTAGGACAATTAGACTGTCTTAACATTAAAATATAAAATTCTCTCTTTACGTAATTGAAGACAAAAATTTCTGCCAAATACATAAACACAGGAAGCCATTCACAACTAGAGACTTCCAGTTAAAACAGAGGAGCAGGAATTAAAATGTTGCTATTTGGATTTTGGGGGATGAGATCTTGGTCTCCAGTTTGCCTTCTGGATTTATTTTTTATTTAAATTTTTTTTTTTTTTTTCATTTTTGTCAAATGTGTATACGGTTACTGAATTACAAAACTATTTAAGATGTTTTACATGCCTTTATTGACTATTGTATGAAGTTTATACAAAGGACCAACATTTGCAACGTCAGTGAACACCCCTGCACTTCACTTTGGCATGCCGTTAACTTCCTGACTAAAGGCAGCCCACTCTCAAATCTGAGAGGTTTTTTGTCCTATGTAACAAGGTCTAGATTAGATTTTTGTCTGAGGATATTTTTGGATTGATTCCTTACGCCACCTAAATATGACTTGACCATTATGGTTCATAGCTCCACTGTGCTGGAAAAACCATCCCAGAACTGTTGTTGGATGATAGAGAGGAGTTCCTCTTGGTGGATGTTTAGGTGCCATTCTTTATTCATGGCAGTTTTCTGAAGAAAATAAGGCACAATCCACAATAATCATGCCAATTTTTGACCCAATTCTCCCCTTCCAACAATATTAAATAATTGATCAATTACTCTAATGGTCCTAAAAGATAATCTCATCAGATTTTTTCTGCCATGTGTGGTGTGTTAAATAAGAGTGCTCTAATCTGCTTAGAGGCATGTTGGGATTGCCCCAATCAATCTGGAAAACTAAACATGTTGGATTCTGATTTTTGGTATAAATGGCCTGTATTTGATGTAGCACCTTATACAGTCCTGGAACCCCCAAGGCACTTTACAACACAATCAGTCACCCATTCACAAACTACATTAGCCACAGCTGCCCTGGGGCACACTGACAGAGGCGAGTCTGCATTACACAGGGGCCACCGGTCCCTCTGACCACCACCAGCAGGAAAGGTGGGTTAAGTGTCTTGCCCAAGGACACCACGACAGCGACAGACTGAGCAGGGCTCGAACCTGCAATCTTTTGATTACGAGGTGAGCACTTAACTCCTGTGCCACCGTCGCCCCGTTTATGAGGACGAACGAGCATGCTGGATGTTGAATGTATAGGGCAAGGTGACAGACGCATGATGCCTGCTCCCCGTCCATCATGTTTGTTTGCCCCTAAATCACATTTGATCTCATAATAATTCCCATCTGACTGGGGGAAGTTTACATGTAAAATTGGTTTGTGTGTAGTTTTTTGCTATATTGCTGCATACCAAACACTGTATAGGGCGAAAATGGGTTTATCATCTGTGATTTTTTATTTTTTTATCGCCAAGTGTGTAAAATTATCTGACAATTTAAAATCCTATGGCTTACATTGAGCACCCTCTTAGCTGAGAAGCACCCATATGTGCATCGTCTCAGGATGCTTTACTGTTGATGTATCACAGGACTGATCATAGCTCACCTTTTCCATTTTGAAAAATCCTTTAATGGCATGCCCCCAAAAAATCTCAAAAACAGCATTTGGGGAAAGTAAAATCTCTCCCCTCATGCAGCAATCCAAAACCTGAACGTTGGCAGAATATTTATCTCCCAAAGTTTTTGGAGCAAAGAGGTTTCTTTGCTGCCCTTTTAACACAAATGCAGCCTCCAAAACTCATATCCTTTTGGTGATGATCCAGGTACCCTGGAACCTTCATTATAAATTAAATGAAGAAAAGTCAGTAAAATGGGCTAAATGTACCATTAACATTTTCCATTATGATTCAAACCTGTAGCTTATTTAAATCTGATTTAGGACGAATGGAAATGTCCACAATTGGAACATTATGCGTTTCTGCTATCATGACTTTTGTTTTCAAGTTCAATTTCATGTTAAGAAAGTGACTTCGTAGCTAATTGCACTTCATTTGATCACTTTTGAGAACATTCTGAAGCTTTTGTCATAAAAAGAGAAAATAATTGCTTGTGAAAATTTATATTTGTGTGATTGTCAAAACCTTTGGCCATTGCTGTGCACTGCAGACCAACTGCATGATAAAATAATTAATATTATCATTATTTATTACTATTATTATTATTGTTAGCATTATCATTATTTTCTTTGTTAAATTACTTTAATAATAATAATAATAATTATTATTATTATTATTATTATTATTATTATTATTATTATTATCACTAATAATAATAAACTGTATTTTTCTACAAAAATGACTGTGACGCAGTGTCTTCTCAAATAATCACGACAGAACTGTTCATAAAGCTAACTTAGCTAGCCTATGGAGCTTTAAACATTAAACATAACTTCCTTACCTCGAACGCCGTCCAAAAATAAGCCACAACGAAATTACTTTTCTCCTTCAAATCCATTTTTGAACGTAGATAAACTCATGTTCTGTATTCGATACTTTTGCAGCTTAATGCTGGTAAATAAACGGGAAACCACCTAATTAAGGACACCTGTGTGTTTCCGCGTGCATCTTTTTTCAGCTCCCTGCAGCACCCGGACGTGCCAGACAACTAGTTTGTGTAATTAAGCTTAAATGACACAACTTTGAAATCTGGGCGAAAGTAAATGAACGTTCGTTTCATTATAATTAGCTATTTGGGCCTTTTTTATTATTATTTAAAGGTGGATTAGGTTTCAAAGCATTCGTCGGAGAAAAAAGTTATTAGCAATAAACTTTTTGCTGAGACCGGAAGAGAGGTTTGCTGACAAGCTTAGGAGGCAGAAAAATCAATACAAGCACATGATCAAATCGATTTATTTATTTATTTATTTTTATTTTAATGATATGGAAATCCATCCAATGTCACCACCTGAGCAAAGAAAAAAGCGACCCCTTTCTAGAACAATTTATAAATCAACTCTATCATTCTACTCTTTGACCGACCATTGATTTCAATGTAGGTCAGGTCTGCACTCATTTATTACACTCTTAGCCTTTGTGTTAGATTTTGAGGGCATCTCTGGGAGTCATCTGAAGGATAAAAGGTATGGAGGAACCAACAGACCTATGGGTTCATTTAATTATTCAATAAAAGCAAGGAGCTAAGTCAACAGTCTGCAGTTCTCAATTATCAGATAACTTTCAAAGCAAAACAAATCAATGGCGCTGCAATCTACAGTGACAATAGTTATTCCATGAAGGGTCAGCAATGTGTGACCTAAAGTCTGCTGGCTCATGTTTAGATCAAACATGGCTGGATTAAATTATAAAAGGACTCGCTGGTTCTTTTTCATTACAGGAGTAGAGTCCTATCTGTGTTCTGCATGAACATAAATTAATACATCCAAGTACACACTGAAAGAGTAAACACCTCATGTTTTTTCCCTATATCTGGAAGAATACTTGGGTGGATACATTTTGAAGAGGACCATTTGGTTGCATGCATTTAATAAAAACAATTAATATGTATTTTTAGCATCAGTTTGTGAGATCAGACCCTAAGTTTTTAGATGCAGCTACATGTTCTGGATTTTAAAATAATAAAACGTTGTTTTAAAATGACAGTAAGAATCTTCTTTTTTTAAGCGTTTAAATTATTTTCTCCGTTTCATTTCAAAATTAAAATTCAACATTGATGCATAACTTTATTTTCTCTAGAAATTATCTGCAGGATGTTGACCTCATAACTCTGGTGGAAATATTTAAAGATACTCCTATTCAAATTACAAAAACGAATTAGTAAACTCTAACGTTTGCATATAAGTCTGGTGTTTTATTTTGGAAGGCAGGCTTTTCAAGAGGAGAGGAGGATGTTGGTTTAGTGTTTGCCTCTTTTAAAAATCAACTGACTATCCTGTCTTCTCCATTTGTCTTGCAAATGAGACGATGA